AGATAAACCAATTTATTTTTACTCTTAAGGTCGTTTGAGGATCTTTTCCTCCTGACTCCTTCCTTTGAACAGTTCTGCCTATGTGAAGATAAGTCAAAGGTCCTGACTGGCCATGGCTGGCTTCCCTTGGAAACACGGAGGAAATAATTCCTCTGTGTTGACCCTCCTTTTTGTAGACTGGACACTGGTTCAAGTCCATCTGGTGGGGTCTCCTGGGCCTCCTGATCAAGAGGACAAGTGACCCACCACAATTATAGGACATTTGTATAGATGCTTATAGTCCCCTGGAACTAGTTGACCTAGGAGGGCAAGGAGCAAAAAGTGTCCTTTATGTTGCTCTGACCAAATTAGTATAGTCCTCAAAGTATGTCTGTTAAACTTCCAAGAAGGTTAGTTCCACCAGCCTGGTACTTTTAATTACTGTGTGCCATGTAGATAAATCTTGGGCAAAGAACAATTGTTTTCAGATAAACCTTACCTAGAAATATATTTCTTGATCTTGTATGTATAATTTGTCAGTAGGTTGTTGGACTAATATGGTTCCCTCTGGTTTTTAAAACTAGCTAGGCACTATTTATCTCCCTCATTGTCTAACCCCTCCATCCTGGTTTCCCCAATTAAGGTGCTCCCATTTCCCTCTTTCTCCCTTAATAATACCCTTCTCCTACGGTCCTACCTCTCTTGAGCTCCTTCTTTCCCTTTATCCTCTAGGTTCTTTGTAACCCCTCCCTCCCCCTTCCCTTAAACTAACCCAATTTTTATCCACATCTCCCTTATTAATGCTTGTTTCCTACTGTTCTTCTCTTTTGTTCTTTCTTTTCCTTTACCTCCCTGGTTCCTTCCATTATGCTGGTTCCTGTAGTTATGTCTGGATACATACTCACTTATCAGGATTTGGTTCTAGGATCCACATATGAGGGAGAACATATGTCGATTTTTTTTCTGAGTCTGTGTTACTTCACTTAGTATAACAGTTTCTAGTTCCATCCATTTATTGCAAATTTCATGATTTCATCTTTCTTTACTCCTGAATAAAACTCCATTGTATAAATGAACCACATTTTCATTATCCACTCATCAACTGAAGGACACTTAGGTTGCTTCCATCTATTAGCTATTGTGAAAAGAGCAGCAACAAACATGGATGTACATGTGTCTCTGCAATAGGATGAGTTCTTGGGTACATGCCAAGGAGTGGCATAACTGGGTCAAATGGTAGGTTCATTTATAGTTTTTAAAGAGTTCTCCACACTGCTTTCCATAGGGGTTGAACAAGTTTGCAGCCCCACTAGCAGTGGATGAGTGTTCCTCTTTCCCCACATCTGACTGGGGTAAGATGAAATCTTAAAGTGGTTTTAATTTTCATTTCCCTAATTATTAGTGATGTTGATCATTTTTTAAGATGCTTCTTAGCCATATTTACTTCTTCTTTTGAGAACTCGATGTTCAGCTCCTTAGCCCATTTTTTAATTGGGTTACTTCTGGTCTTGATTCTCTGTTTTTTGAGTTTGTTATATATTCTGGATGTTAAATCTCTGTCGGATGTGTCACTGGTGAAGATTTTCTCCCATTCTGTGGGTTTTCTCTTCACTTCCCTGGTTGCCTCCTTTGACAAACAGAAGCTTTTTTGTTTAATGAGGTCCGATTTGTTGATTCTTGACCTTGTTCATGAGCAGATGATGTCTGGTTTAGAAAATCCTTTCCTACACTAATATCTTTTAGGGTTTTGCCAATGTTTTCTTCTAACAGTTTCAGAGTTTCAGGCTTTACATTGAGGTCTTTGATCCATGTGGAATTGACTTTTGTGCAAGGTGAAAGATAGGGGTTTAGTTTCATTCTTCTACAGGTGGAGATCCAGTTTTGTCAGCACCGTTTGCTGAACATGCTGTCTTTCCTCCAGTGAATGTTCTTGGCCCCTTTGTCAAATATCAGGTGGATGAAATTGCATTAACTCATATTTGGCTCTTTAATTTTGTTCCATTGATCTATGAGTCTATTTTTGTGCCAATACCATGTTGTTTTTATGACTAGATCTCTGTAGTACAGCTTAAAATCTGGTATAATAATCCCCCCTGCATTGCTCTTAGTGCTCAGGGTTGCTTTGGCTATCCCAGGTCTTTTGTGCTTCCATATGAATCTTAGGATATTTTTTTCCTGTTCTGTGAAAAATGTCATGAGGATTTTGATTGGCATTGCAATGAATCTATGAATGGCTTTTGGTAGGATAGTCATTTTCACAATATTAATTCTTCGAATCCATGAGCATGGGAGGTCCTTCCTTCTTCTGATGTCTTCCTCAATCTCTTTCTTTAAAGATTTAAAATTTTCTTTTATGTTTTAAAATCTTGTATTTTAATCCTAGGTTTGGTAACTACAAGATGAGATAAAAGCTAAAAAAATTTTAACTGACCTTTCTTTGCTCAGTCACTGTAAAAGAGGAAGAATTTCTGTTTTAATTCTAACATTTTTTGCTGTCTAAAATATTCTTTTACTTCATGCCATTAGTTGTTTTTAATAAATGAAGTTATGCTTGATTCT